CTCCCGTTTAGATAAGCAGGGCTCCTTGATCAGGTATGAGGGTCTTGCGCTACAGAGTTTGGAAGCCGATGCAATTCGCCGCACCGTTTTGATCCATGGTTTGCCGCCTTTCACAACAAAGTCGCAAATCGACCACAATTTGCATTATTTGCTGCAACAGGCTCAGCTAACGGATAGCGATATCCAAACCACCTCGAATCATGTAAACACCTCCACCAATGCCTTCTTGGAGATTACTTTTCTACAGGAGTCTACGTCGAAGCATTTCTTTCAGACCTTCAAGCAAAAGAAACGTTGGTACCACTCCAATGAGCAAGATGATGTACCCCTGCGTGAACGCGACGCGCCTATGTTGGAACGTATAGAACGTACTCCGTTGCATGCGGTGATGGACTCCCTTACCAAGCCCCAACCACCAGCAATTGAGGAATATTTAAGATGTGATTTCAACTCCCTTCAAATTTGGGACAACGCAGAAGAAAACCTTCTGGCCCAGGTTCTCTACCTTCCCGACAAGCATCTCAGTTACGCCTGTTACCTCTTGGTTGTTCCGCGGTTTTTTGAGGAGGTTCGCACTCACTTGCCCCGGTTCTTTGGGGATAAGCTTTCAAGCACTATCCAGTTTATGCAAGCGTACGCTTCGGCTAGCCGCCACGCTACTACAGCCTTACGCTATCACTTTTCGCAAACTAAGGATATCTCCAACCTTAGTAGGGAAGATGCAATTCGCTCTTTTCCTTATCCTATCTATCCAGTTGAGATGGGTGATGAACTCTCCACGCAGCTCTCAAAGAACCCGAATCTCATACTCCAGGGATTTTTGGGTATGCAAACTCAGATTCAGCAGGCTGTTGCGGATCTAGGTATCAACCTAGAGGACTACGGTAGAAAGGGCAAAGGCCCCACCCGCAACAAAGGCAAAGGCAAAGGAAAGCGCCCCGAAGGTAACAAAGGCTACCAGTCCGATATGTACCGCAACCAGGCAGAGGAAGAAGAGGATACAGATGAAGACTTTAAGCCCAAAGGTGGCAAAGGCTCCTGGCGCAGAGGCTCCAATTACTGGGATAGGCCCAGCTCCTCTAGGGACACTGGTAAAGGCTCCCGGCAGCAGTGGGACGACTATCGCCGCCCAGCAAGCAGCAGGATCGACTACGGAAGCCCTAAGGACCGGCCAGACAAGTGGTGGAATGCGCGCGACTTCGAGGACTATGACCCAGCTCAGGACTCCACACGTCGCCGCAGAGAAGACGATCGCCAGCAGGAGGGTCGCCACACGCGTCAGCGTGGCCGAGGCTTGGATGACCCTACGCTCTTTTTTCCTTGTGAGGAGTGTATGGCTCTAGCTGGTACCTCCTGCAATGTTTGTAATTACAAATACCAGACTCACTACGATAAGCTTAGGAAATCGCAGTTGCTCCCCAACCTTGCTAGATCTCAACACCCTAAGCTCCCCAGCTTCCCTTGTCCTTTTCCGCTTAACGAAGACTCGGAATTATGTGATGGTGCACAGTCTCCGTCCTTTTTTGGTCATGGTAAGTGCGCTGCCTGTAAAGCGCTCCGCTCGTATTATGTTCGCCCTTTTGGTGGTGATGACGCTGAAGCTATCAACCCCTACTATCACACTCTTATCGTGGGCTACGAGCGTTCAATCCTAGAGTACTTGGATGATACAACGACAAAACTCCAGCAGGCCTTGTGTGATCTAACTTATGAGGACCTCCACGACAAGCAAGCAACAGATGTTCAAAATTGGTTCTATGCGGTAGCTTTTCCTGAGGATATCCTAGTCAAGCTCCCAAGACCCTATGTAGATCCAACGTATGAACCACACAAATCCTCCTACCTTAGCAACAAGTGGCCAGAATGGAAGCAGTTAAATCGGTCAATCGGTGACGCCAACCCCCATAGCTACAGTCGAGTGATGATGCTCTTCGAGGCGGCCTTGGGGCCGGCAGTTCAGGAGATGCTCCACTGTTTCGACCTCCCCTCCCCCTCCGTAGTTCCAGGTTTTGCTGACATGGGTTGGGATGATGC